GTCGAATCTGAATCACTTGAAAAAAACACGGGGGTGCTTAACTTTTTTCCAGGTGTATATATTTGTAAACATTCAAATGTATGTGTTTTCTCTTCAGATAAATAAGTAATGATTTTTTATAGCTTGTTTGGACAGGTTTAAATATGACTGGAACAAAAGTCAAAATTAAACAAAAATATTTTATTATGTGGTGTATGTCTTATTACAAGCAATAACTTAGGTATATCTTGTAGTTAATTTTTGAGAGAATGTTTCCAGTTTCTATTAAAAGTTTAACAAATAATTTTGGTAAAATTGATGTTTGTGTTTTGGAATAGGAAGGAGCTGTAAATGGTGATGGCTATAATGGAAAACAATCACCACATACTGAGTTTGAAATGTTTGAAGGATTAACTGTAGGAAGAGCTGCTGTGGTAAGATTGACATACTTTTATTTGTTAGTAAAACTAAGTATTGTAGTAGATGTAAAAGGTGTTGTAGGCCTCAAAATATAAAATTTGTAATCAATTCATGAGGCAGGAATTTTAATTTAATCAGGAAACCACCACTGCAGAAATGATGAAAAATATCTTTAAATAACATTTGGGAATGTTTTCTTTCCATTTTTAGGATTTTATTTTTTTGAAGTGAAGGTAAAACATTGGGAGTATTAGAATATTTGTACCAAATATTTCACAGAAGTAAAACAGTTATTTAAATTGAGGATATTATGTTTAAATAGGAGAATCTTTCTTATATGTAGTTTCATGTCTGTGTGGCTGTAGTAAAAACTTGAAAGTGAGACAAAGAAATTTCATGATTAGTGGTTTAACTGTATGTATGTATCAATAGCTGAGATAGAGAGAGATGATAATTTGTGATTAGTTTTGAGAAATTCCCATGTGTTCATAGAGCTAAACAGCATTCAGTTTTCCCAACATAGTCGCAGTTTCCGTACATTTACAAGTAAACAATTCTTGAACAAACTGAAGTTAAAGAGAAAATTTTTTTTATTTCATATGAAGGTATAGAGATGACTCTTAAGTTGAATTGGGTGTAGTACTTGTGTAGAATCTCAGTGAATTGATTTTGATGTACTATGTTTTGTTTATTAAATAAAGAAGAGTTGAGTATATAAGACATTTAAGGGCAATAGTATGTTTTATCGTAAAGTTACAAGATTAATTTTGTTTTAGTAAAAGAAGGTACGAATGACAGATTCAAGAAATTGTCTTGGATATCCATTTTGTTTTAACTAATGTTGTATGAATTTTATTTCATTGTAGAGAGATAAATAAGAATCTTGTTAGTAGACAGGTGACAAGGTGTCACCTACAGCTAGATGGGTTAAAACTATCAAAGTATTTATACAGACCAGTGAGTGAAAGTTCCTTGCAGTGTGTGGAGGAGGAAAGCTTGTTGGAGTCATAGTTTATTAAAATAATGAATTAATAAGTTGTTTTCAGTTTTACATGTAAATTTTGGGGGTGGGGATGTTGTGAATTTAAGTATTTCAGAAACTTGGATAGGTAATCTTTGGAACTAAATAATACAAAAGTACTTTACGTAAATACTTATTTGATATTGAAACAGTTTGAATTTATTAGAGCAGTTGTCCAGCCATGGTTACTTATCAAGACAGGGGAAGGTGTTTTTTAAAGTCAGGTTAATGCTATCTGTGTGATTAAACAAGCAATTATTAAAACTAAAATGATATACAGTCATTTATATAGTTGAAAATTGAATCATTGACTATATGTAAGTTATTTTTGAAGAAGTTTTTAAAACAGATGGTGATGGATTCTTTAAGTAAATAAATAGTCAAGTAATGTCAAAACTGACCATAAAATAATCTTTCTGAGAAAGTATTGAACTAGTAAACCTATTTTGAGCAACGATATTATGGACTGAGAATTATTTAGTTAATTATATAATACAGTGAAAATTTTACAATTCAGTTCTTAATTTTAAAATGTTATATATTTTTTTTCCTATCCCATAACAGATTTTTAAACATTTCTTTAGCATAATTGTTACTTGGTGAAACTTCATAATTACAGAATTGAGGTAAAACAATACACTTGTACATTTAACAAATACATCATTTATTCATAACCATGGTTTCACCAGTAAAGGCATCACCAGGTATAGACTTTAGTATATCAGGTTCAACTCAATTTCATTTCACTGCTTATATTTGCACTGTGCAATCTTTATTGAAACTAACATATTAAAATTAATATATAAAGAATGAACAAGAACCAGTTTAGAAGCATACATATAAAATTTAGTTATTTGTAACCAACAGTAAAGCTGAATGATTAATGGAGTTTGATAATCAAATTAATTGATACTGTCATGGTCACAGCATCAGACTTATGTCAGTAAAACTCTGTATTATAATAAATTATGATAGAATGGGCATGTTCCACTACTTGAAATTTTTAAAACTTAATATTTTATAAAGGACTTTAATTTGGACACTACACCAATATTCATCTTTATTGCAACTGGGTTTAGGTTGGATCTAAAATCCCATAAACTGACTGAACTATTATGGTGAGATAATCGGCATCCTCATTGAGCCACTGTCTCACATCACACATTTCCCATTCTTAAGAAAACAAATTAATCTATTTTAAAACTTCATGACTCTTCATTATTCATGTTAGCAGAAATGGAAAACGACATGGCAAACTCTGAAGCACAAACTGTACAGCTTGTAATATGGAATCTGGTAAAATAATAATGATGAAAAAACAGCAACAAAATTGGATAGTTTTAAGGGCAGTCAGGCTGGTGTGGGGAAACAAACTCAATTTATATTTTGGCCTAAAGACATTAGAGGTTACAAAGCAAAACTATCGAAACTTAATATATTTTGTCAAGATCTTTCACTGCCGTGTTTGTTTGCTTAATTCTGTACTGTTCATGAAATTATTAGTTTTTCTTTCTCTCTTATTTTTTATTTTATTCTATGTATCACAGATCATTATACACATGTTTTCAGTTCAGTTAGAGTACAAATATATTTCTGTATTTATTTTAGCTTGCTAATAATGGAGAACTCGATGTTGAGACGGTGATTCTACTTCTGAATGTTAGTGAAAAAGCACGGAGGTTTGTTGAGATGTATTTTAAGCTGGAGTCTAGCCTCTACTTTGCTTATACACATTTAGTATGTCGTAGGCCAGTACCAGGTGAGAGAGCTGCCAGTAGATTTGTTCACAGTATGTAAAAAATAATACACAACATATTAAAATATAAAACTAATAAAGATTATATTAGATTTTATATTACTACAAGAACTACAATAGAAGGTGTTGTGTAAATGACAAATTACAACAGCTTATTGCATGAATGTGAATTTCTAAATGTAGACTAATAAATTGGAAACAGAAGTAGAAAAATCAAGGCCTATATCTTGAGGAATGGCCAGGAGGTAGAGGTATAACTGTATTTTAGTTGTATTTTCAAGTAAATTTTTTATTCCAAATCATACTTGCCTTCTCTCAAATTATAACTATTACTTGACTGCTAGGATTTCTTTTCCTTCGCCCATCTAAGCATTGGTCTGAATTTTTCTTACTTGCTCCAGTCTTTTATTCCCCACTTATTTGCCCTTGGCAATATCTGTCACGTGACACTCTCCACCTACGACAATATGCCCTCTGTCATGGTACTGTATATAAGCACTTCATTCAGATAATATTATCAATTTTTCGAGACTAAGCCAATCCACAGTCTATAACACCAGGGAGGAAGGACTGGAGAGAGTGAGTCGAGGTAAGTATTATTGGAAATACATTTTTGATTAAAGAAAATGTTAACTTCTAAAACATACCTCCTCTCACACTGTAGCTAGAATCCCACATTGATAAGGTTGAGGTGCCAGTGAGGGCATTATTCATACAAAATGCATCTGCATAGATTGTGGGTGTGCCAATAGAAGGTAAGCAACACTGAAGTGGACAAGCTGAAATACAGTATGAATTCCCAGATTATTATTTCCGGCATGGAGGCAGATGGAGGGGGGGTCATTCTCAGTTTGGACTGTCGGTAACCTTGTTCGTAGTGAAATGGAGACATATATTAGGTTTGGTGGTGTTCCTACAGGGGGAACTGTGGTTGCACTTGAGGGCAATCTTGGACATTCTGGAAGGAGCTTAGATTTGCTTTTTCCTTCACCTTCATTTATTCTGTTGGCTTCTCAGGAAGCCACTTTGGGAGCAGCCACCTCAGGCTTCTTTTCTTTAGTTGGCCCATTGAGTGTGTGATGTTTTGGATCTTTCCCCAGTTGCTTTTGAGCCTACACATTCTATGATGGCTTAAGAAGTAAATACTTAGTTCTACCTTCATCCACTGATATTGTGGTTCATGCAGGGAGGTTTACTGCTCAATTACGTGAAGGGATAGCTATGCCTTTATACAATGGTTGTCAGAACTACGTGACTTAGCCTACCATCGCCAGGTGGACGCATGTTTAGACTCTCATAGAATACACATGCTCCTGAAAAATTAGGGTTCTAGAACGGAGTCTGTAGTCAACTTGAATAGATCACAACTATCTAGAATTTATCTCACCTTATATATGGTACTAACATATTTATTATCTCTCCAACCTTTGTCAGAAGACCCTAAAACCTCCTAAATGCATTTCAAACGTTTTTTTAGTAAAACTTTATAGATTATCTGTTATTTTCTCTACCCTATCTCAAAACGGGATTGGTCAGTTTGACTGACTTCATAACCACCAAGAAAAAAATTGAAATAAACCTAAATTACTCTTTTTTCTTTCTAGTATGACTTCAAATTGTAACATGAAATTACCAAGTAGCTTTAAGTTCGTAACAGTACACGTAATACAATTTTATTGTTTTGTTGCCCTTTGAACCATGTCTAACTACTATTTACACCATTATAAGTTGTAAGTCACTCGGGGAACTTGCAGCTCACATTATGCTATTGAATTACATTACCCATTAGCTGCTCTCATGAGTGCCTCATGAACCATTTTAATTATATTATTATTATTATTACATATTTTACCTAATCTAGACTTGAATAACTTAAAAAGATACGTATTTTTATATTTTAGTTACTTTTATAATTATACATAAAGATTAAACATGAAAAACAAGAAATAAAATACTTAACCAATCTTCTTTTTTCTTGCAGTCAGGTTTTGAAGAGTGTTAACCATAAATTTTTATACTATAGATAGTAATGCACTTAATAATTTTTATTTTATTTAATATTGC